GGCTGAATTCCTCTTCTTTTCTTTCTAACTATATTCATGATATATTGATCCCCTCTAAAACCTGTAGAAAGGGAAGCCTCAGTGTCCATGGCTCCAGGGACAAATCTCAGGCGGAGGTGAACTTTGTAAAATTCATTCAGCACTTTTCTTATTCAGAGGTTGGATTTTCTCAGAACCCAACTGGGGCCACAGAGCAAGGATGGCTTATCCATTTTGAGTTAGAGAAACTCCAAATGTACCTGGGTGGCCAGGGATACAGTTGGTCTTTAAGATACTTCTAAACTTCCCCCCAGGTGCAGGCCACTTGATGTTGGGCATTTCATACCTGGCCCTAAGCATTTCTCATTTATTCTTCACAATACAAGGCATAGACATTATTATCACGGCCATTTCCAGCAGATGGAAGGGAAGTGCAGAGAAGTTACAACCCTGGCCTCATTGGACACCTGCCGCAGTCACCCCAGGTGACTGCTTAGCGTGCCCATCAGGCAGCGCGGTGCCCACAGCCCCAGCTCTCTGTTGCCTTTCAGATGGTGAGCGGCTGCAGCTGCAGGATGAGGAAGATGACAGCCTGTGCCGGATCTGCATGGATGCCGTCATCGACTGTGTCCTGCTCGAGTGCGGGCACATGGTCACCTGCACCAAGTGCGGCAAGCGCATGAGCGAGTGTCCCATCTGCCGGCAGTATGTGGTGCGCGCCGTGCACGTGTTCAAGTCCTGAAGCCCCGGTTCTTCCCGACAGGACACTCTCCCCCAGGCTTGATCCCAGACATTTCAATGCACAGAAGGGATTGGAAACTTAACTGTTCAGAGGCTGAGACTATTTTTAAAAATTATTTTCACTATTAACTGGGGACAGAAAGATTCAACCCTAAATTGTGGCCACGTTGGTCCGTGCCATGCGCCTGTCAGCCTGTGGACATGCCGGCTCCCAGGTTTTGCTGGGTTTCATCCCGTGTCCGTGATCACTACTTGCTGACGAAGTCAGGCTGCTTACAGCGTCAGCTTACTGCTCTCTTTGGAGAACATTTATCCTGTTCTCTTATTTCTCCTTCATCCTATTTTTAACTTAAACTACTCAGATGTTTGAAACTTCTGTTCTCTTTGGATGAGATCACTGTCCACAAGTGGCCGACACGGTACACGCTGAGCAGTGGCTCCTGATGTCTACTTTATTAGTCATGTATATTTTAAATGCTACTATTTGATGAATGTAAGTTTCCACATTGTTGCTATTTCTGCGTTTAAACGTAATTGGGAACAAAGGACATTCTATAGTCAACTGCCAGGGCCTTAGACTCAACATGTCCATTTCTGTTCAGGTACAGCTTTTTAGAGCAAGGGCTGCCTCTAGGTTCATTCATTAGAGAGTGTGTGTGTTAAATTCTTTATTAACGTGTAAGCAGTTTACACTGTTTTGTATAGTGAAAGTGTATTTTCAGTGCTACCGCTAGCTAATTTGAACTTTAGGAATAAAATTAGATTTTAAAAAATGCTTTTGCTTACATTGTCCTAGCCAGTTCCTAATTCACTTGGGTTCAGCACGAATGGGTGTCTGCGCCTGGTGTAGCACCTTTCTTCACAAGGGACAGGAGCACCTTCAAAGACCTGCGGTGATCTCCCTTAGCTGCTGACTGACCAGTAAGGTTAACTACAGATTTGCTGTTGGCTATGACCAGGTATTGTGCCGAGTGCTTTCTGGTGCTCTTCAGCAGTCTCAAATAGCTGTTGCCTTGCTTTGTGAATGGGGAAACTGAGAAATTAAAGAACTTGTCTAAGATCTTAAAAAGTGGCCAGGACGCCTGGCTTTCGCATTTGGAAAAGCATGGGACTCTTGATCTTGGGGTCGTGAGTTCAAGCCCCACGCTGGGAGTAGCTTACTTAAAAAGTGGGTAAATGATTTGGAATGTGAATATCTCTTAATAGAGCTGTTACCAAGAAAGTGATAATAAAATATTTGATACTTGAAAAAAAAGAGGGAAGTGGCTAATGTCAGAATTTGAACCTAGCTCTGATTTTAATGTTAACTCCTCCACAACCACCCAGCAAATGAGAAACCCGATAGGAGCTTATGCAGAAAGGTTCCTGGGACACGAATGATCTGAAATCACTTTTATGTCTAAGCCTAAGCAGGGTGGTGTTGAGACCGGCTGTGGACTCAGTCCCCTTTCCCACTGGTAGTGGGCAGGTGTGTTTGTAAGCAATGCTGGCTTCTCAGCTGAGTCCTGTTGGGTTTTATTTGTTGATTCTGCAGTGGGTAGCACCACCTGCCTTTAAGTGCTCAGGATCTACAAGTCCATCAACAGATCTGCAAGGGAAGGGGGGGAGGGTGTCAGATAGGGGAGAAGGCCTAGTTGTGAAGAAAAGCATACCTTTCCACTTTTCCAATTCTTAGGGTCAAAGCATGCAAACCAAGGCCTCGTGGATATTTCAAACACCCTTCTCTCCTGTTTGCCTGCAGAGCGCAGGGCAGGTGCGGGCCATAATTCACGGTAAGCAGATCATGACCTCACCACAGAGCCAATGAAGCTCATCCCCCGCTGAAGCACCTACCCTGTCTGTACCTCTCAGACCATGAACTCCAGAAGTTCAGCCTTGTCCACAAATCACTAATTTGGTGGAAAGAAGTCTTCAAATACAGGCCGGCAAGTGATAGTAAACAAACTGAGATAGAAGCTGAGCAGTGGGTCTTAAATTAGGAAATTGAGATTTATTTGCATATGGTCTCAGCTTCAACCAGTGTGTTTGATGTTTCCTCTTAGATTTATAGACGTTGTCTCAGGTGCTTATTTTTAGCAAGAGAATTAAAAGTTTTAATGGTGGATTTTTTTTAAGAGCGTTTTGAGTAGCGCCTGGGTGGCTCAGTCCACTAAGCGTCCAACTTTGGCTCAAGTCGTGATCTCACGGTTCTTGAGTTTGAGCCCTGCATCTGGCTCTGCTGACAGCTCGGAGCCTGGAGCCTGCTTCTGATTCTGTGTCTCCCTCTCAGTGCCCGTCCCCTGCTCATTCTCTCACAAAACTAAACTTTTTTTTTTTTTTTTTAAATTAAAAGGTAATGTGAAGGAATCTTGTGTTAGGGAATAGCCAACAGAAATTTTTAGTCTAACAAGCTCGACAACTGAAATAACCACATCCTAAGTTAGGTACACACAGACTTGTTAGGCAGAGGGTAAACGTTTCTCTCTGCAATGTGCATTTTCTAGCTGGCATGTGCGGCCTCTTTAATGTTTTTGAACAGGTAATATACGCATAGAAGTCTGAAGGTCTACAGTGGTATACAAGGACATCTCTTTGCTCCTGTCCTCACAGTACAGAAGGAGAACATTCGAGGCTTTGGACATGCCATGGGATTATCCTTTGTCACCCTCAGGTTCCCTGGAAGAGGAGAGATGGAGCCTATTTTCTAGGGTAGGAAGTTCTGCCCTAATCCACGAAGCACTGCCTCTGGCTTAGGGTCCTTTTTTTGCTTCATCTGTTATGGTCTATGGAATCAGAGCAGCAATTTGCCAGCATTTAACTCAGGCTGGCTGCCTCTGAAGCTCATTTTTTTTTTCTGTTTTGTTTTTTTTTAAATGTTTTATTTATTTCTAGGAGAGAGAGAGAGACAGCTTGAGCAGGGGAGGGTCAGAGAGAGAGGGAGTCACAGACTGAAACAGGCTCCAGGCTCTGAGCTGGCAGTCAGCACAGAGCCCGACGCGGGGCTGGAACCCACGAACCGCGAGATCATGACCTAAGCGAAAGTCGGACGCTTAACCGACTAAGCCACCCAGGCGCCCCTGAAGCTCATTTTTAAAAATGACACGTCTATAGAGAAACTGTCCTGGGCTCTAACCTTAACCGGTTTGTTGAGTACACTTGGGAGAGCTCCCGAGCAACCATCACAGGACTGAGCCTGCCTCAAGCCTGCAGAGAATATGGTCTTGGTTCTGAGGCCTCCATCTGGTAGCTGTGATGCACCCCCCCCCCCCACCTCCGCTCGGCAGACCGGTGTCCTCCTGGAAACGTGACAGGAGAAACCGGGCCCTCTAACCCCGAGGACTATTCACCTAGAGAACACGGTTACCCGTAAAGCAATTCCCAAGCAAGAGGATGCCTTCACTGGACATCAGGGTAACGCTCATTCTGAAGTTCAGAGAACTCGGGCTGCCAAGAAAATGGAAACGTGGCCTCCTGTGTGGATGTTCCATGATGAACGAACAGGCTTGCAAAGGTAAGCCGCGTTTTTATAAACAAACAATGTTAAACGAATCTTACCTCTGTAAAGTGCATCTCCCCAGTTAAACTCTGGGGTTCACCAGCTGCAGATGTCTCCAGTTTGAGTCACAGGATCTCTGGGTTTAAACTAACTGGACGCGGCATGAGACCAGATGGGATCTAAAACCTTTTGCCGTGGCCAAAAACTAAGGGGAGCGATAAACTACCAAGGAAGGAAGCTGGGTTATTTTCTCCATTTTCACATTCACCAGAAATATGAAGTTGTGGGGCCCTGTTGGTTAAAAAAAAAATTTTTTTTTCTACGATCTAAAATTATTTCCACTAGTTTTCCTGTCTGCTAGCTGGGGAAGTCCTATCCAAGTGCCTTCAGCCACCCCGGCCAGAGGACACTGAGCAGTGTGTGGCCTCCATGGGCGGCCTCCAGGGAGAGGCTGAGGAGATGGACGTGCCCTACCGAGGAGGAAATGCCCAGTGGTCACGGAAGTTACTTCCTACAGGGTGGTCAGCGACACCCAATCAGGTAAGCCACCTCGCCCCTTCCGGCAGTTTGTACCAAATCCCTCCCTGAGACCGCTGGTGCAGCGGAGCCCTCCCCTCACGAGGCCTAAACCGGCTCTCTCTGAAGACGGGAAAAACATGGACCAAGGGGCCACTGCTTTTCTCCAGGGAATAAGAAATGACCGGGAACAAGAAGTTGTTTATGCCAGTGTCGAGACTACAGCCTCTGGATTTTTCGGTCGAATTTCTAGTCCGCTCCGAGAACAGAAACTCTCTAAGTCCAAGGGTGCTTTTTTGTACAATTGTTTATACAAATTCAACAAAGGTAAAACCGCGTCAGGAAAGGTCTAGGAAAACAACACCTTACAACAATGGCACTTATGGAGGCATAACTTTACAACTAGGAAACAGCCATGTTATAAACCTCGAACGAGAACTCAACTCACTTCAAAGGAGAGAAAAAAGGAAAAGAACGGCTATGTTGGATCATTTATTCTACTTGACTCACTGTATAAATTAATTTGTGTAGGTACAACAGCTCATGCGCTGGCTGCAAAACCCTCCTGAGTGCAAAGGCTGAAGTCTGAATTTTAAAATTTTGAGAAACAGGTGAGTTCTGTACAGAGGAAACTTGGCAAAGTGTCTTACTTCGACTAGAATTAACATAGATCCACATGCTTAGGTAATTCTTGACGTCCAAAGCGGGCTCTCAACTTCCAGTTAAACATGCTTTTAACGAGAAGGTCTGGGCCTGCTCTGCCAGATCCGGGCACGTGTGTCGATGAAGTACAGGTTAAGTTCTCTCCTCCCTTAGGGAAACCAGGAAAGTTGGCAATCTCAAAACAATAAAAACACAGGTATGCATTCAAACCTTGCATAAATAACTTTTAAACAATTTGTACAAAAATAGTTCTGCATAATGTAAGATGTAACAAAACCAAACAAACAAAATGTCAAGACGGCAGATGTGGTGTGTGGTCCACTTTACGTTGACACCAGCCCCGGAGCTGCAAGGACTGAGGCGTCCAAGACAAAACACCACCACCAGCAAAAACTACTAAGCTCGTGCTTCAGCAGGAGAATTTCTCCAGAGTCCATCCTCCTCTCCAGCGGGAATGTCTTCTTGGTAAAGGCCGCCTTAGAAATGGTCCAGAAAGCAGTGCAGCTATCGTTCAGACAGACCAAAGGAGAGTGTCCGGTTCACTCATCCCCAGAACAGGTGCTGGAGCGGCTTCTCCCTCGGCGAGACTTGCAAATGGAATCGTTCTGGGGTCTGTTGTTCCAAGTTCCAAATTGAAAATAAAAGCCCTACTTTTTTTAAAGTTTCTTCCCTTCCCCTGCCATGTCCCCTCCCCCCACCCTTCCCTTATTTACATACTTGTCCTCAGACTAACTCAGTTTTTGTAGGAGTTTTTCTTCCACTTGCCCAAACTGGACACTCACAGACATTTCAGCTATGAACTGCTCACAGCCTTCCTTGGTAACCTGCTTGCAGTACCTCAGGTCAATATGACAGATATTTCCACAGCGTTTGAAGAAGGACAGGCACTGGTCAGTAACCTTATTGCAGTCTGCAGGGAAGAGAAGACCACGTGAGATGGAGGAATCGAGAGACCGAAGGTCCCCCCCCAAGCAGTGAAGACACGTGAGAGCATATTCCCACCCCTCGTGCGAGGGGAAACCTGCACTTGTGTGAAAGCTCTTCAAATGACGAATGGTTCCATCTACCAAGTTATAAAGGTTAATATAGGCCTGAAAAGTGTTCAGAGCGTTTGAAGTGAAATCACTTAGAATCTTACCATTGCTTCTTTACATGTAAATATTCTCACATAAATAGGTCCCCTGTCTATGTTGTTCAACAAAGATAGATGCTATTTGATATATAGTGTGGCCCTAATAATATTGTTGATAAATACCTCCCCATTTGCATTATTGTGCACTTATCTGCTTATTCCCTTCAGATCCGCTCCAGGGGTGGGAAGCACAGGGTGAGAGGGAGAAGATCTCTATGGTCACCTTGGGGTCCTTTTCCCTCGTGGGGGCACCAGTGCTTTGGAGTGAGGTACAGCATGCTCGGGAGCCCCCTTACTAAATGGTTCCTGGAAACCCACCCAGAAAACCCCAAAGTGCTACAAAGGGCTGACGAGAATTCTATCTACGGTGAGCAAACCCAGAATTCGGAATCCTTCATCTCCCCCACCCCCCGACACACTCCTCTGCCACATCTTCTATTAATTTGTACGTTGCTTTTAACACCGTCTTTTGTTTGAGAACTGAATCCACAGTTCTCTGGCTTCAATGCCAGTTAGCATCCAACTGAAGCTCAGAGATCCCCCTCTGGCCAGATGTATTCCTTCGTCTCAGTGGCATTTATCTCAAGGCCTATCTGTAATCATTAGTATCTGCATTTGCAATTTTTCTGTTGAGTAGGAATGAAAACAGTAAAGGCAAACTGCAAATATAATCAGGAGGCCCATGCTAGCGCTGTATTATTGAAGTCCCAGGTTTAGAGGTGGCACACAAAAATAAATTCAGCCAAGTTGCAGGATACAAAATCAACACACAAAAGTGCATTTTTATACACTAGCAAGAACAATCTAAAAGAAAATGAATTCCATTTACAACAGCATCAAACAGAATAAAATACTCAGGAATAAGGTTAACCAAAGAAGTGAAAGACTTGTACACTGAACACTTGAGAACACTGCTATAAGAAATTAAAGATATAAATGGAGAGATTTTCCTGGTTCCTGGGAAGACTTAACATTGTTAGAAAGGCCACACAACTCAAAGCAATCTATAGATTCAATGAAGTTGCTATAAAATGCCAACAGCGTTTTCTGCAGAAATAGAAAAGTCATCCTAAAATTCATGGAGAAGTATAAAGGATCTTGAATTGCCAAAGTAGCCTTGAAAACAAAATTGGAGGACTCACTTGTGGATTTCAAAACTTACTACAAAGCCACAGAATATGTTAATGCATTTAGGACAACAAACAGACTGACAGCCTAGACCTTAAACCCTTGAATGTTCAAATGATTTTTGACAAGGTGCCACAACCACTTAGTGGGTAAAAGACAAGTTTTCCAACAAATGCTGCGGGGAAAACTGGATACCCATATGCAAACGAAGCTGGACCCTCTACCTCACACCATATACAAATTTAACTCAAACTTCTTTAGACCTAAATAAAGGAACCAAAACTATAAAACTCTTCGGAAAATCTTTGAATTTGGCAATGGTTTCATAAACATGACACCAAAAGCACAGACAAAAAGATTGAACTAAATCAAAGTTAAAAACATTTGTGCAAAAGACATTATCAAGAGAGTGAAAAGAGACACAGAGTGGGTGAAAATACTTGCAAATCATGTATCCTGGTAAGGGATTACTACCCAGAATATATAAAGAACTCCTACAACTCAACAACAAAAGAAATCCACAAACAACCGGACTGAAAAAACAGGAAAAGGACATGAATAGACATTTCCCAAAGATGATACACAAACAGTAAATAAAAAGATGCTTAACATCACTAATCACAAGGAAAATGCAATTCAAAACTATGTTGAGGAGGACCTGGCTGGTTCAGTTGGTAGAGCATGTAACTGTTGATCTTGGGGTTGGGAGTTTGAGCCCAATGTTGGGTATAGTAGAGATTACTTTAAAATAAAAGCATTTCAAAACCACATTGAGATATGCCTTCATACCACTAGAATGGCTCTAAAAACTAAGGGTCAGCAAAGATGTGGAGAAAATGGGACCCTTGTACACTATTAGTAAGAATGTAAAATTGCGCCCTGCTATAGAAAACAATATGGTGGTTCCTCAAAAAATATTAAACCTAGAATTACCTTATGATTCAGCTAGTCCTTGTCTGGGTATATACCCAAAAGAACTGCAAGCAGGGACTTGAACAGATATTTGTCCCAGCAGCATTATTCATAACAGCCAAATGGTGGAAGCCACCCAACTGTTCAGATGGATGAATAAATAAAACCGGGTCTATACATACAATGGAATACTATTCAGTTTTAAAAAGACAGGAAATAAAAAAAAATAATAAAATAAAAAGACAGGAAATTCTGACACCTGATACAACATGGATGAACCTTGAGGACATTATGCTAATTAAAACAAGCCAGTCACACACAAAAAAACACTGTTCTATAATTTCACTTGCATAAGGTCCCTAAAGTCAAGTTCACAAGGACAGCATGGGGATGGTCAGGGGCTGGGGCCAAGTGGAATGGGGAGTTAGTATGTGGGTACAGAGAAAGTAAAGTTCTGGAGATGGGGGGTGGGGGTTGCACACAACAAAAAATGAACCTAAATGCTAGTGAACTGTACGCTTAAATAGTAAATTTTATGTTATGTATTTTATAATTTTTTAATTTTTTAAGTTGGAGAAGAGATAACATAGTAAATTTGAGAAAGCTTAACCTAAATAGACTGAAGGGAAAGTAGAAAAGCAGATTCATCCCGTAAAACACCCCAAAGGTTCAGGTAGGGGAAATAATAGGTACACTAGAGGGGCGCCTGGGTGGCTCAGTCGGTTAAGTGTCCAACTTTGGCTCAGATCATCATCTTCTAGTTCATGGGTTCAAGCCTCACTTTGGGCTCTGTGTTGATAGAGAGCAGGCCTAGAGCCTGCTTTGGATTCTGTGTCTCCTCTGTCTGCCCCTCCCCAGCTTCTGCTCTGTCTCTCAAAAATAAACATAAAACAAACAAACAAAAAAAAAAACAGGCACACTGGAAGTGGAGCTAACGAAGGGGTTAGACTGGTGGACGTTTAGACCCCCTCCTTAGCTGCAGAAGAGCAGTTTCAGTCTCTGATGTTGAGAGAAAGTCTCTGGTCTGGGTGCCAGACTGAGGCACCCAGTCAAAATCAGGGTCTAGGGGGAAGCTTACCTGCTGTCGAGATCTCCAGCTCCCTTCCCCTGCCAGGCCCCAGGATACTGGGCAGTCCGGCCTGCACCCTCCAGCTGGGAGGTCAAGGAGAATCCTTTTGGCAACCCTGCCCAGCTCAAGAGAAAAGTCTGAAAGATCTCACGTCTTGGTTTCCCCAAAGAAACCACCCATGCTGACCATACAATGACTGACGTCCACAGCAGAGCAGCTCCAATGTGTGTCACCAGCCTCTGATCACTTTAGTGTGGACAACCACATGTGGACACTAAATCTGAGGAGGATCTCTTATGAGGGCCACTGACTATGTTTGAAGGAAATGATGTAAGCCCAGAGAAAAAAATTAAGCTATCAATAACCTCGGGCCACTCTGCTGAAGTTCAGAGAATGTGAGCACCTGGCTGGCCTAGTTGGTGGGGTATGGGACTTTTGATCTCAGGGTTGTGAATTTGAGCCCCAGCATTGGGTGTGGAGATTACTTTAAAAAAAAAAAAAAAGGCTCAGATAACAAAGGGGAGAGGATAGGATGGGGGGGGGCGGTGCAGAGAGTAAGATACAGCTGTAATATTAAGAGTATCAATTGAGGGGCACCTGGGTGGCTCATTCAGTTAAGTGTCTGACTTAGGCTTGGGTCATGATCTCGAAGTTCCTGAGTTCAAGCTCCATGTCAGCTTTTCTGGTGTCAGCACAGAACCAGCTTTGGGTCCTCTGCCCCCTCTCTCCCTCCCCCTCCCCCTCCCCTGATTGCATGCTCTCTTTCTCACAAAAATAAACAGACATTAAAAAAACACACACACACAACTGGTTGGGGCCATAGAGAGGAGTTTGTGTGTCAGGGAAGAACAGCATTCAGGTCTGCTGCAGAGTCTTAGAGTCTAGACTAAGAGCTTAGAGAGCTTAGAGACTAAGCAAACGAAAAAAGAGGCAATTATTAACTCTAGGAAAAAGAAAATTTATGCAAGAAGAGAAATGTACTCATAATAAACTATTTAGTTCAACAGTGGACAGAAGTTATGTGGCCACAGAAAGAGACTTAAGCATGAATTGGAAAGATAAGGGGGAAGAAGATGTAAGAGGAGCAATCCTGTGTTCTACACAGCAAGCCAGGAAATACAGAATGCCTGAATGGAAAAAGACAACCAAAAACTAGCAACACAGGCATGCTGTGTGCAAGCACGGAGACATACACCGGTAGAAAGAATTTAAGGTGGTTGCCTGGTGGGGTGTGAGCACCCAAATAAATCACCTAGAGGAACATTCGGCCTGAATGACGAAAGCTAGACAACTGTGACTTGACTTTGTCACCAGATCCTTCAAGTTCATAGTTCCTGAAACAGGTCAACTGTCCTCTGTGTTGTGCCACAGACTTACTTTTACCATTAACTAGTTACACTGATGACAAAGGAAAACTTTTTAAGAAGCAACGAAACTAGAAGAGACTGGGTCTCAAGGTTTGCTTTCCCACACAGCACGGCTCTGAACAGGAACGCAGACATCTCTCTGTACCGAGGCGAAGGGGTGAGCTTCGTGGAAAAACAAACACAAAAGCACGTTTGCACACAGGACAGCACATGCAAGGTAGCAATGGACAGTAAACAGAGTCGTTGTAACACCAAGCTGCACCCGGGCCTGTCCATAGTGCAGCCCCGGCATCCGTGTAAGCAAAGCCGGGAGCCTCAGACCAGCACGGCTCTCTGCCTCCACGGCAGCGGGCCAGCCTCCGAGGCACAGAATTCTCTCATACCACCAAACCTCTCCATTCCTTCTCCAAGGTGGCATGGCTGACCGGAAGCTGTTTAGCCATCAAGCATGAGGTGAACATGGCCTTTATTAATTTCTAATTAATTCTAATTAATAACTAATTTCTGGAGGAAAAAAGCATTTTTTGAGGGCTTGTGTAAATCTCACATCCAGAGCCTGACTCGTTCCCATCAGTCATACCCCAGGGCCTTCACACCCGGCGCCAGCCTGGCAGGCAAGGAGAGGGAGCAAGGACTCTGCAGACACAGAACCGCAGCAGCACCAGCTATAGGGGTCTCTCCTCTCTCCGACTGGCCCCTTGTTAGCAGGGCCCCATAAGCAAGGACAACCACAGCACACACTGAGCTACTTTATGGGTCAAAGCCTGCCTGGCCTCACCACCCACCGCTCCCCTGCTCTGTACACCACCCGGGAGAAGTTCCTCAAGCCCACACTGGGAGTCAGGAACCTCTGCTATGTGCTCTCACTGCCACCAGCACTCATTTTTTGGCAGCAAGCATTACCAATCCAGTAATAGCTCCTGTGTTTGAGGTTTCTCCGCCAGCCTAGTCTATGTGTCCGTCTTGTTTACAGGTATGTCCCAGCCCTGAAACTGTGACCCTGTAATAGCAGGCACACAAAGGATTTCCCAACAGGGTGAAATTCCCAGCCTGTCCCCCAGGATCCCAGGCAGACCCTGCCGGGTGCCCCCGACTGACCTGATAGGTTGATTTCAGTTAAGGAGTCTCGGGTGGTGGTGCCCACAGCAGTGAGCAGGTTGATGGACTGGTCAGTAACGTGATTACAGTAACTAAGGTGGAGCTTGGACAGCAGGGGCATGTGGCGTATGATGAGCCGCAGGGAGGCGTCTGTGATGTCCAGGCCTGCTAGACGCAGTTCCACAATGTTCCGGAGCTTGCTCCGATTGTCCATCTGACCTGAGAGGGCAGGAAGGAGAGAGGCAGCATGTCAACCTGACCGGGGGACATGTGGTCACACTCACCTAACACTCTTAACAGGCCTACTGGCCACGGGTCACACTTCGGTTTCAATTAGCCATTGAGTGTTTCCCCAAACTGGTTCCCATGTTTAAAAATAAAAGGATTCCCCATCAGCTCTCACGCTTCTGGATTCTTGAAAAATCAGAACATCTGGAAACACAGTCCATTCAACCCAGCAGTCCTTAGCCAAGTGGAGCAGAGATAGCACAGCATGTCTGATCACTAGGGTTTTCTCATTTAAGCTATAGGTGGTGGCGGGGGGGGGGGGGGGGGGGGGGGGCGCGGGGATGACCCTCACAACCCAAGTCAGGAAGGTTCCATCTTGTGAGCTCATCTCCAACTACGCTGACCCCCGTGCTCAAGGAAGCTTGAAGCCAACGAAGGACAAATTAACAGAGTAGTAGTGAGAACGCATGCAGAGGCCTCACAGCAAAGTCTTGGGTGTGCCAAGAAGCCTCTGCTCTCAATGCTCCCTTCTCTGCCTGAAGCTGAGCGAGAACACGACAGTCTCCTCCGGGAAAGGGCTGGGACCAGAGAAGGCTTGGGAGCCCATGCACCGGCCGGAGCCCGTAGTGAAAAGCAGCTCTAATGGCACAGCCCTGTCAGACTGCCTCCATGTCGACCTCCTTGGGCCTGGCCACTCACCTGGCCTGTTATCTGTGGGCGGGGACAGGAGATCTCGCATCTGGGCGTCCTTTAGTCCTTCTACCCACTGGACATCCAGGGTCCGGAGCAACGGACAGCTGGAGCTACAGAGAGCTGAGACGGCGATCCACGAGCAGCCTGACAGCACCAAGTCTCGGAGCCCTGGGGGACAGGGGGAGGGCTGGCAGGTCAGGCGAGGCGCCCCAGCCCCCACCACTAAACCTCTGGGGTCCCTGGCCCAGCGCTCACCAGGCAACCGGTTGATGAGCCAGCTCAGCTGTTTCTTGGAGATATTGGTCCAGCTGAGGTCCAGGGAGACAGGCTGCCGCCGGATGATGCCGCTCAGCATCAGGGGAGTGATGGACTTGCAGTGGTTCAGATCGATGCGGGTCCATAACCGCTTATCGCAGCACCTGGGGGCCAGGCCCAGCAGAGGGGGCATCATCAGACTTGGAGCAAGCCCCCTGCACTGCTGTGGCAACTCACCCCACTACCATGTTTGGAGGAGGGGGAACTCCTTGACTTCACCCTCTGGATCCTTCTCCGTTTCACGCCTGTCCTGCCCACACCTGGGCACCTTTCCTCTGATTGCCCCAGGCCCCCACGGAAGGTGCCAGTACCTACTCTTCATTAAGTCTTTACTTGGGGCTCTACCACACCCTCTACACACCACTTCTCACAGTAACGCTCCAGGCAGACATCATATCGTGCCCTTTGACAGAAAAAGGTAAGTAACCTGGCAAAGACCAGTAAGTTAGGAAATATGGAAGCTGAAATTAAGATCAGTAACTGGAACACTTGCTTTTAACCTGGGCTGCCTCTTTAAGGACAAGGACTCCACCTGGTCCTCAGTTCATCTTCCAAGGGCTGAATCAAGCAATCAGATAAGGTTCACCTCTTCTGACAAGACCAGCGTGACCAGATTGCTGTAGCCACCTGGAACTCTTTGAGAAGAATAATTAAGCTGGACTGAACTTAGACGGAGAGAAAGACGATCATGAGTGACTTAAGTGGAGACACATTCCACACACGTGCCATTCCTGGGCTAGTCTAAGCCTTAGCCTGGCGCCCAACACAGGGCCAGTCCCTGGCTGCCTCCCCGTCCAAGCTCAGCCCCTCACCAGCGGTTCCAGGTCCTGCAGACCCGCATGCAGACACACAAGTCTTGGTGGCTGAGGTAGCTGAAGACGGCCATCCACACCTCCCTGTGCATGACATGGGCCGCCCCATCATCCAGGGGCAGTGAGTCAGGCGGGGGGCTGATGGGGGGCGGGCGGATCACGTGTCGCTCCATCTGGATGCACTTGGGCGGGGACACGGAGGGAGGGGGCCGGGAGATGACACGGGGTGGGCTTCGAAGGCCGGGCCCCAGCTGGTGCCGCAACTCCCGGGGGGTGCCGGTGAGCCCCTTGCTGAAGCGGTGGGGGCGCTCGCAGAGGCCCAGGGGGCGCTTGGGCTCCTCGCTCTCACTCTCAGGCTCTGACTTGATGGGCTGGTGGTTCTCGTTGGCCAGGCTGTTCTCAGTTTTCTGGATCTCTTGGTTCAGCTCCTTGCTCAGCTCCTTGCTCAGCTCCTTGGTGGGAAGCCGCCTTTTCCGGCGCATCTTCACCTTCTTCTTCTCCTCGGGGCCCTCCGCCCCCTCTGTGCTGGGCCCAGCCGTAGGGGAGCTGGAGCGGGAGTGGTCGCTTTCCCGGGCTTTGGGGGGGGCCTCGGGCAGGTCATCCTCCGGCTCCTGCTTGAAGCGCCGGAGAGGCTTGTTGGCAAGAGCCATCCGGTCCTCGGCGTTCTTCCAGGACCGCCGCTGAGGGAGGAGGGGGAGCGAGGGCAGCTAAGCCCCTAGGCTCAGGGCTGCCTCCCCACCCTCAGAGTGGGCCCCACTGACCCAGGAGTAGGCATGGGGGGGGGGGGCGGTGGGGAGAGGTACCTTTTTCCTGAAAAGCTTATCTTCTTTGCCAGGCTTTAGCTGTCACAGGAAAGAAAGCATGCAGAGCTTGCTCCCAGGGCTCATGGGATTCGGTCCCCTCTACACACTGCTCCCCTCACAAGCCAAGTCTCTAGAGTAGGGGCTGGAGAACCACCTTCCCCACAAATCCCATCTCCTCCACTGAGACTGAAACACAGTGGGCCCTGCCTGCTGCTTTTAGAAGTTGGAGGGGAGAAGTGTGGTCGAACTGTTCCCACCCAACTGACCTCCCGCCCCTGGGCAGACCCTGAGGTGTGCACTCGCCCACTGAGGCTGGACTTGGCTCTGGGAGCCAGTCCTGGAGGCGGGGCCTGCGGGGTTCCCAGCGGAGCCTTAATGGCTGGAGCTGGGGAACGACAACCAGGCGCCACCTTGTGGCCGAAGCGGGAAGAGCCGCTGGGCGGAGCGGGGCTGCCAGGATCCTCAGAGGTTTCCAGATCCACAGGGCTTCCCCGCGGCAGCTTCAGCTTCTCAGGCCCCACGCCAGAACCACCAGCCAGCGATCCGGGACTGGGGCCCGGGAAGCTGCGGCGCACAGACGCCTCGGAGCGGCTCGGCAAGGGGCTGGAGGACCGCAGGGGCGGGAGGGGAGGGAGGGTGGGGGCGGCCGGGACTCGCAAGTCCCCAGGGCCTCGGGAGGGCGGGGCGACGTGGGAGCACCTGCTGCTGGAAGTAAGTGAGACTGGATCTCCACCAGGGGCTGAGGCTGCTGCCTAGAGGGGGCCTCGGCGAGAGGTGAGAGGAGGAACCGGGGGACGTTTGAAGCGTCGAGGCCTAAAGGGGTGGGAAGAGGAGTGACTCGCTGGTTTTCCCCTCCTTTCTTTTGGGCCGGGCTCTCGGGACTTAGGTGACCTGCTCAGGGCAGCCAGAGGCCAGGACCCCGAGCTCTCCCCACCCCCGCCCGTGCGCCCCGCACCCGGGACCAGCCAGGCCACCCCTCGCTGCCCGCTCCTCCCGCTCCGTACTCGCTTGCGTCCACTCAGCTCTTGGGGCTTCTCGTATTTCCGCTTCCTCCTCAAGTGCACGTCGTCTGACTTTCGGCGCAGGATGCCATCCGGGGGCACCTTCTTGGGGTGCTCGTCGGACCTGCGCCGAGGTGCCTCCTCACACTCACTCCTCCGCTTGGCAGGCTCCTGCCCTTCCTTGTTGTCCCGGTTCATCTTCTGCTCCTTGAGCAGGGAGCCGGGCAGGTTGGAGGCATACTTAAAGCCAGGGCCACGCTTTTGCTTGTAGGCCAAAAAGAGAGAAGGAACAAACAAACTGTATATCTTTGGACTTGCCCCCTCCGGGAACCCGCGGCACCCCACGGGCCCACAGCGCAGGGACAGGCTGCATCTGGCAAGGCCAAGGTCCGCCCCTCCCAGGCTGACCCCTGGGACTTGGAGCCCGGCACTCACTTTCCCGGTCTTGCCGGCGTGGTTACACTTTGGACACTCCCAGCAGTTTGGAAGCTCATCGTTGACCACGCCCTCTGACTCCTTAATCTGCGGAGGGCACACGCCAGTCAGCAAGCAGGGAGGGGACAGAAGATGCCACATCTGCCAGGAACACCAACAGCCCCCTCCCAAATGTCACTTCTATCCCATCCTTGATCAAGAGAAAACAAAGGTGGTTAAGACACGTGGCTCTGGATGCAGGCCAGGGGTCCATCCTAACTTTGCCTCTTACTAGCTCAGTGATCCCGGGCAAATCACTCCATCTCTGTGGGCCAGTGCCCTCCATCATGCAATGGAACGTCCCTGTCTCACCAGCATCCTGCAACAATTCAGTGACAGAACTGAGGGAAAGCCATGGGCCCAGGGCCTGCTGTCATTTAGGAGCATCGGGTGCTAGGTGTGAGCAACACAGAGGTGCTGTCCCTACCCTTGAGGGGCTTCTGATCTGGGAGATAGAAGTAACCAAGCAACTAAAACATGAAGTCGGCTTCCAAAGCCAGGGGATGATCACAGTGCCCCCTTCACACTGTGAGGCCTGTGCAGGAGGATGAGCCCCGAGACAAGCTACCGGGGAAAACAGACATTTCAAAGCTGAGGTGATATGTGGGGCAAGCCCACCTCAGTCTTTCTAAAACACACACATAGCGGTGCCTGAGTGGCCCAGTTAGACATTCAACTCTTTTAACTTTGGCTCAGGTCATGATCTCCTGGTTGTGAGATCGAGCCCCATGTCCACCTCCGTGCTGAGCATGAAGGCTGCTTGGGATTCTCTCTTCCTTTCCCTCTCCCCTTTCCTGGCTCATGTTCTCTCCTTCTCAAAATAAATAAATAGACATTAAAAAAACCCACACAGATATACATAGGCTGACACCTGGGCTGATAGGGAGGTGCCAGGTATGATGACATTCTCTGGGGACAAGCCCAGAACAGTCTCTTCCTTGCAGAGGTAGAACCTGTTGCCTAAGACAGACAGGCCCAGCACAGCGGTCGCACAAGAAGGCAGCCCTGCCCTGGGCACACCAAGGGAGCAGGTTCTCGGCACACGGGGACACGAGTGCAACCGCTGGTCGTTCCAGGGTCCGCCCTCCCAGGCCCAGGCTTCGTTCTCCCCAAAGCCCCAAGCCAGGATCCCAGCGAGCTGCACAGCCACCCAGTCTCTCCCTCTGCTCTCGGTGCAAGACTCGGAACTCTCTGTGGTTCTGTCGTATTGGGGGGGGGGGGGGGCGGGGTATGTGTTCATTCCCTCAAAGACACAGGTGGCAGGTCTGAGAGACTCTAGACCCTTCCTGCCCTCGGCTTGTTATCTGACACTCAGAAACCCCCAGACTCAGAGGTCCTCTGGGGGAGGAAGCTCACAGTCCCTCAGCATCAGCACCACCAGAGGCACTCAGCAGGGGTGCCGGGCAGCCCAGCCAGACCCTGCTGGGACCGCTCACCTTAAGGCATCCAGGGTGGATGATTTCATTGCAGATAGAGCACTCCATGAGCATGAGGTTAAACTTTCCTTCTTCCTCTTCCACTGTGTCTTCTTTCCCTGCCTCGCCACACACCAGGCACACGGCGGTGTGGGGCAGCACTGGCTGAGGGGCCGGAGAGAACACAGCAGAGTCAGCAGGGGCCAGGACCCTGGGTAGTAGGTCAAAGGCCAGGAGACGACAGAGAACTGGCCCAGGCACTGCCTGTCATTCATTCATTCATTCAATACTCAACAGGCTACCATCTCTATGTGCCAGATACTAAATGCTAGGAATGGCCCTGGGAAAAGACAAAAATCTCTGCCATCCCAAGCATACATTTTAGTGGAGGGAGGCAGACAAATGAAAACTAACAGCAGATGCTGTGACAAGGGACATGGAGAAACATATAGCAAGGAGGGCCAGGTGAGGGGTGGAAGGGGCTCACCCGGAACACGGAGGTCAGGGACAGCATCGAACACGAGTAAAGACCTGAAGGAGGAGGTGGGGCGTGAACTGAGCCCAGGCCTGCGGGGGTCTGAGGGTATCAAAGCCTCACCACCAGCAGCTATCAAAGCACATCCCACAGACTCCAGGGTCCCCACAACCTTTACAGGGAGGTCCGCAGGGTCAGAACTATCTCAAAGTAACACTAAGATGCTATCTGCCTTTTTCAGCTATGCTGACGTTTGCACTGGTGAGTGAAATCGCCGGCCCTCGTCAGGGCAGGGCTGAGTCTGTCCCTGACACATGCTCATTACACAGAGATCGCCGGTTTCACTGAAGAAGGTCTTTGATGAAAGTCTTGATGATGAAGCAGTAGAAAATTACTAATTTTATGAAAACTTCAACCCTTGAGTACATAACCTTTTAATATTCTGTATGACAAAATAGGAAGTGTGCATCAAGCGCCCCTGCTGCATACCAAAGGACGATGGTTATCTAAAGGAAGAGCACTCGTGACTAAGTTGTGACCTCACTTGGTCATTTTCTGCAAAGAACATCATTCTGCTTGACAGAGCAACTGAATAAAAAGAGTATTGGCAAGTTTCTCAAAGATGAAATGAGCTGGTCACTTCCAGAAAAACTTATGGCATCTGTTGCAGATGATAAAATTCAAACTTTAAAAACAAAAATTAGAATTTTGGAAAACTTACACTAGCCACAGTGGACTGGACAACTTCCTAATAATACTTAAAGACTCTACGGGGTGGGGATTGGGGGGTGGGGGGAGACTAGCAGTGGTGTTAACAAATGTGGTTATTACTTTTTGTTTGTTTGTTTTACATTGTGGAACACTGTATGCCCCTGTTTGGAAAATCTGTATAATTCAGTGAGCCAGTATTTTCCAAATGACCCGATGTGTGATGTGTGACGTTTTAACACCTGATGTTGTAACACCCTGCGCGTGAACAAATGAGCTTTTCCAGGGGCAAGGAAAGACTAATGAATTTTAATGTAACAGCATGACAAGTTCACTGATACAGTTTCAGATTCCACATTGTAACTAACCTTTAAGAAGCTGCCACTTGTTGAGTTCCTGTGGAGTATCAGAGATATCCACCCCTATGGAGGAAGGTTGTGCTAAAATACGCCTCCCCTTCCCAACTAGAGACCTGCACGAGGCCACATCTTCCTCACGTGGTGGCTCCAAAACAACGTATTGCGAAAGAATGAAGACAGACACATATATGAAAATGCAGGTCTTGTCTAACGAACCAAACATAAAAGATTTACAAAAACATAAAACAATGCCATCCTTCCTATTAATAAGTTTTGTTTTGGAAAATGTAGTTATTTCTCATAAAAAAATGTCATTTATGTTAACGGGTAGTAGGTTTGTTCTTTTTATTTTTTATTTATTTTAAAGTTTTATTTATTTAAGTAATCTCTACACTCAACACAGGGCTCGAACTCATGACCATGGGATCAAGAGTGGCACACTCTTCCAACTGAGCCAGCCAGGTACCCGGAGTTTGTTCTTTTTAAACGAATTCAAAGTGTTTTTAAAACTTCTCCATTTTAATTTTGAATAATAATAAATAACCCACATAAACAAAGCTCTTGGGGGGGGGTGTCCTCATAATTTTTAAGAGGGTAAAGAGTTGCCAAGAGCACAGTGTTTGAGAACTGATGTACTAAACTATAAACCCTTTGTAGGCAGGCACAAGCCACTTCTACTCCCCTCCTTTACACACCCACCTCCCTGTATCTGGGATCCAGATGAAGCACACAGTTAATTTTTATCACACTGAATTAACAAAACTTCACAAAGGCTGGGATACAGGCTCCACTACTAAGTGAAAAGTCTAGAAAATGGCACAAACATTTGAGTTCAAGTAAATAGAACACTGAAGGCAAAAGAGCCATCATTTGTTCAACAAATACTTAATAAACATCTGCTAAAGCCTGAAGCAAGCCACCAAAAGGGGAACAGTAAGGAGAAAGGCAGCTGCTCCCCCGAGCTGTTCGTGAAGAGGAAGACAGACATGCTGAAATCCTAGGGAAACATGGCAGTCATGTGCAAGTGCTACGAGGAGCAGCGAGAGGCTGCTTTCCCAGGACTCCCAGGCAATGCGGGCTCCTGCAGGCACAGAGAAGTGAGGAGCAAAAAAGCAAAAGGGACCTCCCACCCACATGAAAAGGGACAGAGAAGCAAGAGCCAGATGCGTTGAGCCACAGGGAGCGGGCCGGGGCACCCGAGACAGGGGAGCGTGGAGAGCCCAAAGCTGGGGTGCTGGGTGAGGAACACCTGGCAGCCAGAGGCTGGTCTGTGATGGGGTGGGCGAGGGTAGGGGACAGACTCCGATACTGGTAGACAGAACCACAGGCAGAGCTACTGCAGAGACTCAGGAGAGGAACGCAGGCCCGAACCAGCAGGGAGACAGTGCTGGACGGTGCGAAGGGAAGGAGTCTCACAGGGAGGACAGACAGTGGCACATCAAGAAAGAAGGCCTGGAAAGGGAGGAGAGGTGCCTTGCATGTGTCAGAGGAGGGTAAACCACAGCAGGAAGAGCCCCAACAATGTGGAAAGGTTAGAAGAGCAAGGAGGACCCCAACGGTCAGGCCACGTCGACACTTTCTATTAGTTCCAAAAGCCACATCAGGTTGGACACCACACACACACACACACACAGTGAGGTTTCCTTCAACCAACACTCACTGTGCCAGGCACCGTGGCTGCAAAGCGTGGGGGACATCAGACACAGGTCCCATAACTGACCCTGGGACACAGGGCAGGGACGGGGCAGAGCTGAAGAGGGAGCGACAGTGCTGGGTCACTGCCAACATGCTGAGTTTTAGGGGACACTGTTCTCAAAACCTCTCTTAAATCCTGACAGCATGCAATGCGTCACATCGATCCTCACTCCAGAAAAATGTACCTAGAGGCATGCACACAGACAAAACACCTGTATTCAATTTCAACGGGACTCTCAACCTTCCTGAAAGCCACTGAAATGACCTGCGTATAGGTAACGATTAAAAACACAAGTGACCCAACAAAAACTGCACAGCAAAAGGAAACAACAGAGTGAAAAGGCAACCCAGAAAATGGGGAAAAATATTTAGAAACCATGTATGTGATGAGGAGTTAGTATCTAGGACACATGAAGAACTCCAATTCAACAAAAACACAGACAATCCAATTTGAAAACGGCCAGACTTAAACAGACATTTCTTCAAAGGAGCTATGGCCAACACACATATAAAAAGATGCTCAACATCACCAATCATCAGGGAAATGCAGATCAAAACCACAACCAAGGATCACCTCCCTTCCATCCAGGCAACTGCTATCAAAACAGTAAATTACAAGTGCTGGCGAGGATGTGCCGAAAACGGGACCCTTGTACGCTGTTGGCGGGAATGTACAATGGCGCCACCTCTATGGAAAACAGCAGAGCGGTCCCTGAAACCATTAAAAATAAGCCACCATATGATCCAGCAATCCTCCTTCCAGGTACATACCCAAAGGAATTCAAAACAGGATCTCAGAGAGATACTGGGAACCCCCAGGTTCACAGCAGCATTTTTCACAAGAGCCAAAAGACATAAAAGCAACTTAAGTGTCCATCAACAGAGGAACAGATAAAGAAAATGCAGCACAAATGATGGATTATTCAGTCTTTAAAAAGAAGGAAATCCTGGGGTGCCTGGTTGGCTCATTTGGTAGGGCATTCAACTCTTGATCTCGGGGTTGTGAGTTCAAGCCTCACATTGAGCACAGAATTTACTTAAAAAAAAAAAAAAAAAAAAAAAGGAAATCCTGACCCATGCCACTACGTAGATGAATCCTGAGAACATTATGTTCCGTGAAATAAGCCAGTTGCAGAAGAAGAAATACCATTTATACGAGGGATCTAAAGCAGGCACACTTACACAGTAGAAAGGTGGTTGCCAGGGGCTGGGGGAGGGGAAATGGAGTTGTTGGATGGATATAGGGTTTCCATTCGGCAAGATGAAAAGGTTCCAGAGATCAGCTTGCACAACGAGTATATAGGTAATATGACTGTACTGGACACTTAAAAATGGTTAAGATGGTAAATTCTGATGTGTTTTTGACCATAAGAAACAAAACAAAAAATAACAACAAAACACGGAACTAAAACAAAATGCACGTGGTACACGTGGAGGGGGAAGGGGAAGGAGTCCCTGGGCTCGGAGGGGGAGGGGCAGCGGCAGCCTAGCCAGGGAGAGGATGCACCCCGTGCCAGGCTGGGCCTTTGGAGGAGCTCTCCTGGGAATCCCGTCCCTCCTGCTGAGCCTGCTTTCCCACGGGAGTGGAGAGATCACCCGTCGCGCAGGGAGGACCCTGGCCTGGGAACAGAGCCCTGCAGAAGGTGGGGGGTGTGCTATAGGGATCCAGGGACAGACCCCGGGACCACACCTCCCAAGTCTGCACCACTGCTCAGTCCTGGAACACGGTGGGGGGTGGGAGGGGCATGTGGGTGGGCTGGCCAGGCTCTGCAGCAGCCCAGCTTCTGGGCTCCATAAATCAGCCCTCTCTATCTGGGGCAGTCCCCTCAGGCGGGGCACTGACCTTCCACCTGGCCCTCTGACTTTGAAGGCAGGACAGGAAGGAAGGGAGGGCCCAGAACCGTCATGAACTGGACCATAAATGTTGGCAATGGGGTCACAGACAGGACAGGCTGACATCTTTAATGGCAGAGACTTCAAAGTACTCGGTCATCTAGGGAAGGAAGGAGTTCTAAGACCATCAGCGGGTGAAGAAAAGGGGGCCTGCCCGGCAAGGTAAGTCTGCCCCCAAGTCCTGCGATGTGGAATCTGAAACAGCACAGGTCAGAGCCCCCTTTCTTCCCACAAGGGAGCCCCTCCTAGGGGTTTCTGCAGCTGGAACATTCTCTTTAAGGGAGAGACTAGGCAGACCAACAAGCAGAACAAGCCAGGGAGGCGGGGTCTGGATTCAGAGGAGGGCCAGGGCCGCCACCCCCACTCTGCTCTCGGGGTGTGGGGAGAGGTCCCTAGGGGCGCCTGCTGCACTCACCGCGATGCACTGCCGCATGATACAGCTCTGCTTCATCCGCCCAGGGCCCCCGAACTTCTTCATGTCCTTGCAGAAGTGACACTCTCCGCACTCGGTCCGCAGGCAGGCCTCGCACTTGCGGCATCGCGTCCGGCGCCGGCGAGCTCCCGCCGTTGTCCGGTTGGCGGCCAACTTCACGGCGGAGGCCGGGCCCAGCTTCCCCTTGGGCCGACCTACCGCCCGGTTCTGCGGGAGAGCACACAGGGCCAGTGAGGCGGGCCGCAGGGCTGGCCGGGCCCCCACTGCAAGGCCTCTGGGGCTGATGTGTTCAGGTCCCAACCCCAGGACCTCAGACTGTGACCTTATTTAGAAACAAGGCCTGTACAGAGGCGATCCAATTAAAACAAGGTCATTAGGGTGGGCCCTAAACCGATACAACTGGCGTCCTTATGAAAGGGGAAGTCTGGACACAGGCACAGAGGGAACACGTGGAGACACAGGAAGATGGCCACGTGACTGGAGTAATGGGTCTATAAGCCAAGGAAGTCAGCGGCCACCAAAGGCTCCACCAAAGTCTGGAAAGAACAAGGCAGGATCCTGCCCTAGGGCCTTCAGAGTGAGCGTGGTCCTGCTAACACCCTGACTGCAGATTTCCGGCCTGCAGAACTGTGAGAGAGTACATTTCTGTTGTTTTAAGTGCCCCAGTTCTGGGTAGTTCATTACGGCAGCCGCAGAAAGTGAACCCTGCTTCTGAGAGCGTGTCCTGGCTCAAGACCCTTCCATGGCCCCCACGTCTCGGCAGAGGCCCCTGCCACTACTTGTACTTCCCCAGAGAAGCCATACACGGCCACATGGAAGACCTCTGTCCCCTCTGCCAGGAATGCAGACTCCCCTCCCCACTGTGCTCGGCTACTGCCTACTCTTCTGCAGGCCCCAGTTTACAACTCCTCTCTTCTGGCAGCCTCCCTGCCCTGTGTTCAGGGCGCCTTCTGCAGGCGGTTTTCTCAGGGGCCTCCCCCCCCCCCACAACTGTGAGACAGAGAACTCAGGAAAGCGGTTATCGAGAGTTCTGTCACCACTGTCCTTTGACAAGATGGCCTGGCATGCCAGACGTGCTCAATAAACCAAACAACCCCAGGTAGAATGAGACAGTAACCCTAAGGGACCTTGACTTCAAGATCTCTAAATGGGCTCCAAATGCTTCTTTCCCTGTGACTCAGAGGAAAAACAGAGAAGGGCGATGAACAGAAAGCGGTATAAAAACGTGAAAGAGTGAACCAGCCAGCCACAGGCCCTGTTCAGGGGTCCGTATGTCCCAGCCAGCTGCCTCAGAGCCTCTTGCAAACCAGGACCCTGGTGAAGCTCTGGGCCGGCCACTGAAGGTGTCACAGCGCCTGCTGAGGGCTCCTGTGCGCCTGGGACTAGAAGTGGGAGGGAGAGGACGCAGCCTGTGTTGTCCGAAGCACCCTTCCAAGTAGCAGGAGAGTTTGCCGAAAAATGATTCCTCTGTCAGGGAGACACACTGCTTACCCCAAACCATCTTAGCGAGTCGACATCAAATGCTTAGAGCCCTTTGCAGCCAATCTTGAGTTCAGTCCCAGCCTTTTAATTTTACTTGCTTGCCACACGTGGATCCCTAATAAAATCCCCTCTTGTCAGCTCCGGGGGGACCCAGAAGCGTGGTTGCTATGCACCACAACAGTGCGAAAGGCCCTCCTTCCAGGGACCCCTCTCCCCCAACACCACAGGGCTATTGAGAAACAAACCACCATATCAAGGAGAAACACCGTCCACCATCTCTTCTCCAGCGCAGTGGTTCCTGCGCAGAGCGAAAAATCTGAAAATCTCACACACGCCCACTTCAGTACTGACACCTAAGTGATCCTTCCCTCCAATTCATCTTCCCGGCAGCCTGTAACATTCAAGGGGGCAGCAAAGCCGGCTGACGGCTGAAGTGCTCGCCTCGGGAAGTGCCGCTCCTCTGACCTTTATCCCCCCGGCTTGCACTGGGCTCCCAAGGGGAAAGGGAGACACGAGCCCCAGCTCTGATGGCCCGTCGGTCCCCGTCAGCCCTGTCCTGGCCCTGCCGCTTCCACAGAGCCACTCCACGCTCACTCAGTCATGGCCACCCTCAACTGTGAGGTGGCCCAACCAGCGGCCCTGTCACCAGGGAGACCCACAGGTGGGCCTGTCACCACCGACTGCCTCAGGGAAGGGGCTGCTCCCACACAAGCTACTCTGCCTTCCAGCAGCGAAGGTCTTGCAGCCCCCTCCTAGCAGTCCTTACACTGCGCCCCAGGGAGGTCTCGGGTACCCCTCGTCACACATAGGAGCTTGGCAGCCCTAACACTGGAAGAGAGATAAATCGGCCTACACATGTCACACATGTACATTCACGTCAGGTATTGCTGCCAGATACGTAGCAAAGAGGGGAAAAAAAAAGAGTCTTCAGAGGATTTGGAGACGAAAATGGCACATAAGGAGCCATGGACCTGAACCCTAAGCAGCTGACCAGAAAGCAACAAGTGTGCCGGGCAGAAGCAGCCAATGACAAGAACGGTGACAGCAGCGATGGTGGATATTTTCTGAGTGCCTGCTACCGTGATCATCATTTAACATACGCGGTTACCTTATTTTCCCCAATAATAACCCTAGGAGACATGCCATTTCTCAGACGAGGGGACCAGAGAGAGGATAAGTGACTTGCCCAAGGTGATGGAGCCAGTAGAAGATGAGCACACGCCCAAAGTGCACTCTGAACACTACGTAAACTACAGCAGAAGGGCAGGCACAGTAGGGCGGGAGTCCCCTGGAGGGGAGTGCACACCCCTGGAAGGGGCCCCTGGTTAGTGCCTTCACGCCCATAGTATGGCAGGTGCCAACAGAAAGTACACAGAAGCACATTCACTTCCAGGGAAATGGAAACCAGGAAGGCTTCTCCCTCCCTTCACAGCCTCTACGAGTCAGATTCTACCCCTACAAAGAGCACATGTCCTGTAAGCGACTCGCTCCTCAAACCCCAGCAATAAGGCAGATGATTCTGAGCCTCAAGTCAGGTACAGATGTGAGGGCAGTGCACACAGTCCAACCTCCAGGGACAAACCAGAGGGAAAGGGCTCAAACTCTGACTCCCACAGCAGAGACTCTAAGGACTAGCCACTTTGGTGAAGGACTGAAAAAATTCCTGGAGTCCAAACACGGTTCTCTCCTCCCACTCAGGAGCGTCAGATATAAACAGCTGCGGGGCACCTCTGTCCTTACCAGCCATGAGGACAGTGTCTCTCTAAAGTCAAAAGTTAGGCCAATCCAGCCAGGGTCACAGAGCTCATAAATGACTGTGAAACAAGTCTACCTTCCAGTGCTTTCCAAAGCACATTCCTATCCAGAGATGCACCCATGAAAAAACTCCTGGATCCCAATGGCAGCTGAGACATCCTGGAAAATGACAAAGCAAACGACAGACAACGTCCTGGAAGAAGAGGTGTGAGGAAGCCCTGTTTCTGAAGACCTTGATTTAGGCCCTCTCTAGCGGGCTGCCAAGTCAAGCTAGAAAAGCTGCTGCTGCCCGCAGCTTTATGGCCAGTTTTTGTGGGAAGTGGGCACCAGCTGGCTTGTCAGGAGTTAACTGAGCAACACCTGAAATGCAGGAGCCTAATAAAGACCACCCAGAAAATCAACAGGTGAAAAAGACAGTGGAGAGTCTCTATTAAGGAAGGTAAACAAGCCAAAGCCCTGTCATTCTGGCATGAAGCTTCTGTCCTAATCTCTCCTGTATAATATCTAAAGGGTCAAAACCCAGGGTGCCTGTGTGGCTCAGTCAGTTAAGTGCCCGACTTCAGCTCAGGTCATGATCTTGGGCTTTGTGAGTTCAACCCCCCACGTTGGGCTCTGTGATGACAGCTCAGAGCATGGAACCTGCTTTAGATTCTGTCTCCCTCTCTCTGCCCCTCCCCTCCACTCTCTCCCTCAAAACTAAATTTAAAAAAAATTTAAATGTTCAAAATCCAATTTTAAATTCCACTCTATGCTAACTTTGCCTCTATTTGTTCAAGTACCCAAAATGCATCTTTGTTAATTTCAGTGTGAACTATTCTCAGCACAAGGGAGTGATGGCATCCACTTTCATTTCCAAACCAGCCTCCACAACCCCAAGGCCACTTGTTGATTTTATCAGCCCAGCTCCACCTATTAAGGAAATCTAGAGTCCACATTTGTCCCCCACACAAATCACAGTATCCTGACACCTCTTCTCCATCAGTTACTCCTAAGCATTTTCCTTAAAAGGAACATATTTTGGCAGTTCTTTCATTCACTTGTTCATTCATTCCACAAATATTTACAGAGTGCCTCCTATCCCTCAGATCCTCTTCTCCTGAATATTCATGGCCAGAACGTCTTCAATCTCTCATCTCTAAAATACTGGGATTAAAATTACTTGGACTGGTGTATCCACTATAAATTCATGCCCATGTGCATCTAATGTACAAGACTGTTCAAAGCTGCTTTACTTGTAGAGCCCTCAACTATACAATGTAATGCTAGTAAAAATGAATTAACTCTAAAAAATTACTTGGACTCACCTAAAATAATGAAAAGACATCCCATGTTCATGGATTGAAAGACTTAATACTGTCATGATGGCAATACTCCCCAAAGTGATCTATAGATTCAATGCAATCCCTGTCAAAGTTCCAGCTGGTTTGTTTTGTTTTGTTTTTGCAGAAATCGACAACTGACCCTAAAATTCATGTGGAAATGCCAGGGGCCCGGAAAGGCCAAAACAATCTTGACAATGAAGAACAAAGTTGGAGGATTAATACTTCCTGATTTCAATACTTACTACAAAGCTACAGTAAACAAGACTATGTGATGCTGGCATAAGGACAGACATATTGATCAACAGAATTGAGAATGCAAAAATACACCCTCACAATATTTACAGCCAAACAATTTTTGAGACCAAGTGATTTTCAGCAAGTGTGTCAAGACAATTTAGAGGGGGAAAAGAATAGTCTTTTCAACAAATGATGCAGGGACATGCAAAAATAATGAAGTTGGTCCTCTACTTCACACTATTCGCAAAAAAATTACCTCAAATTACCTCTTACCTAAATGTAAGGGCTAAAACTGTAAAACCCTTAGAAGAAAATAAAAGGGTAAGCCTTCCTGACCCTAGATTAGGCAACGATTTCTTAGATAGGACACCAAAAGCAGATTCAACAAAAGAAGAGAGATAAACTAAACTT